TTGCATGCATGCCAATTATACCGTAATGCAGAATTTCAGCATAGGAGCGTGCATACATAACACATACAATAACCTCATATAATGATATTGCCTAAAGCGGATAACGACGCCGTACAAGCATACTAAATATTGTCAGCACCAATTACCGCATGAGTTGGGCGAAACTGTGATGGAGTACGCTGGGAGACACGCGATTGTGATCGGGGTTGACTTTCACGTCGCTGCGAGCTCAACGACCTGTGGAGCACATGCAACCGCCCACGTCATTCTTACACGCAAAGCGGCGGCTGCCCGCATGATTTGCAGGAATTCAGCGCACTCGCTCTAAGCCTGCCGTCCGGCACGGCCTCCGTGCATAACACAATCCGAGTCATGTCCCAAGCTGTCGCGCATTCGGTGGTGTGTGCACCATCATGGTGGCGCCAGTGAGTGCATGACGGGTGAGCTGCTGAACTCCACACGGCTGTGCAGGCCGCCGACGCATCCCCGGTGTGCATAATGCGTCCGGGGACGACGTTGCCACTTCGCCGCCGGTCACCGAAACTCTGAATTTACTCCCCCCAGGCCCCCCTCCCCGACAGCTGCAGCTGCTGAAGATGTCGTTCGGAGCACCTTATGTTGCCTGGTAAGGTTAAGACGTGGCTGAACGCGGACTCGCCTGCCGGCGCATGCACGCCTGCCAACAATCGCTCGCGCCGCCTACAGTTAGCGGTGCGTGACAGCAGTGTCCACCCCACCCCGTGTTGTTTTTCGCGCCGAGTCGTGCCGCTGCAGGCGGAATCGGCGATCGGCGCCGGCACCGACTCCTCCAAACAGCAGTAGTTACAGGACGCTCGCCGACGTTCCGTGCGCCTGCTGTCGCGCGGCGCGTGACAGCCGCCGACAGCGGGCCAGCGTCCGGCGCGGCCTGTGCCGCCTGCTCGAGGCCAGCGCCGTCACGAGGGCAGACGGGTGGCCGGAGGCGCGTCCGCCCCGCCGCCGGTGTTATTGTTTTCGGCCGGCGCTCCGACGCCGGTGCGCCGCATCATGCCAGCCTGTTTGTCCGGCTCGCAGCGCGCGCGTCAGAGCGGCCCCGTGCGAACCGGCGTCCGAAACAGGCCAGGCTCGGCACGATTCGCCTTTGCGTGCCTCATTCCTCGGCCGATCTGCTACCCAGGGCGATCAGCGCCAATTTATTTGCGAGTGGGTATCATGGTGCCGAGGCTCCGGCGCGCAGACCGCAGCGGCGCTGCGCGCTATCCTTGTGTTGGAGCTCGCGAAAACTCCACGGAAAGAAAACAGCCATTACAGTTCGCTCCGTCGCTGTGTGGTTTTTACGCCGCTGAATGCGTGACCTGCACTTGGATGAAGCTGGCGCTCGTGTCCGACTCAGCCTCCCGTGTCGTAGCGGAACCGGGGACATAGGCACGGAACATTGCAGAGATAGCGCGGGTGGTATCGTGTAGCCGTCGCCGGTGGCATCGTGTAGATATGACGCTCAATCGGTGGGACAAGATGAGAAAATATATGATGATCTTTCACTGGTGATGCTTGATGCATCACTCGGCAGTCTTGCCCACTGTGCTCTATCTCCAACTCGTAACTCCTAGCTTTCCCAGCGCGAGGCGTCTGCTGCCAGGAACGCCTACCGCGTCACCGCGCGCAGGGGAAGCCCCGGAGACGCGTCAGCGGACCGATCGCCCTCCGCCGACGGAGACGCGTCGGCAGCCCGGACCTCCGTGGTCTTGGCCGCCGAGGTCGAGGCCGGAGCCCGAGCGGCCTCGGCCGAGCCCCGGACCGGGTGACCCTGTCGCCCGTGACCAACACCCGAGCGCGTGGCGCGGTGACCGCGACTAACGCCGTCACGCGCTACGCCCGTCCCGGCGACGTCACGCGAGTCACGCGAGCTCCCATGGCGGCGTCTCCGGCCGGCCACCGAGCGCGTCACGTGACGGATGGGGCACTCCGCCGACCGGTCAGGCCGGGATTACATCCCACATGCCGGGTCACGTGACGTGCCTTGGTCGGCTCCGGGGATTAGTGGTCACGAGGTGGAAGAGACTGAAGTTCACGGGCACTTCGACCGCTCGGGGTTCGTGTGCCTTCGCGTGTGAACGTGAACTGACAGCGGTCAGTCTCACATACCGCACATTCTCAGACGGACTTTCACGCGACATCTGAAGCTTTATTTCTGATAAATCAGATGTGATTTGGATAGAGGAAACTCAAGGAAAACAAATGAGCAAGCTCACCACGACGTTCCGAATGTCTCCAATCTTCACAATTAGAATGTGTGGGACGATTATCCTCTGGAGCACATTCAGCAGGTTACGGCGGACTAAACAAAACCTGCTTTCCTTATCGTGAGCCGATATGAGCACTTTAGACGCTAACATTATGAGACAGGGGCCTGACTTGGTATCAAATCTTAAATGCACTATTACTGAGATAAATAAATATACTAATGCTGGGGAAAACAAGGGCGATTCCAGTGGAATATATTCAAGTCTATATTGCACTGCGTCATTAAAAGACCATAAAAAATCATGACTATTCTCGAGCTCGAGTCGGCACGCCATGACAATTGGCAGAAAATTGCATTCAAAATACTTACGCAAACACATGCACACCGGGTCATGCGCAAAACACCCTGAAAACGGACTCATTCACATACGTGCAGATAAAACTAAATAGAGCAAAATAATATCACACCATATTGGTCTCTAATCTCATCTCGCGAGCCAATGAGCTGGGTGCAACTGCAGAACGATACCTGCATCGCCGTCCGTCCGGCTCTGTGGATTCGAGGCAGCCTGAGGTTTGTGTCCTGCCTTATCATGTCCTCTCCTGCCTATGTGTCGCCCTCTGTTTGGCTCCGATCCTGAGATCGTTAGGTCTCAAAATTTGTGTCAGTAGGCAAAGCCTTATACGAATTGTCCCAAGCTGACGGACAGGAAGCCACTTGAGCATGTGCAAAGTGCATCCCTGATGTAGTCTGTCAACATGGCAACCAGCCGGCAAATTTTATTTCGGAAGCAATTTTGTTTCGTGAATGTGAATCATGTATCACAAATCATGAATCGTGAAATCATGAATTTGTGATTTCACGCATGTGGTACTTCATGCTTGGTCTCATGGGGTCAAATTCGCAAACGTTGAATGACGAATTGGTACCAAAAATGCAATTTTGTCATTGTAATTAACTGCAACGAAACAAAAACGCTTCCTGAGCAGGTCTTGGCGGATGTTCTGACAGACAAGAACGATAAACGACGGGTTTCGCCTTTTTTTGTAACATCTATATTTTAGATTTAAAACCAAAATATTTCTCTGCCTGATAATGCTAGCGTGAAAGTGCCATAACGTTTAGAAAAACTCGTTTGCCCAGCAGGAACCCGACCCAGCACGGCTCAAGCCTCTGATCATTTGCTACGCGCGCGGAGCGAAGTAGCGTGTCTCGCAGCGCTGCCTCCTGGCGTGCGGTGTCTGGGCAATCGCGGCTAACCCGACGCAGGTTGCTGCTGGTGTCACGACCGGGTCAGGCTGACAGCCGGTTTTCCCGGAATGCACTTGTATTGGAAGTCTGGGAGCGAAAGTGGATAAGCTCGTTTGATCTGTATGAATCCATGCATGCAATTGGAAGATTATCTGCATTTTTGTATGTTTACACATGGTTTCAAAGTGCAAACCACTGTCACCACACACCTTTCATCCTATACTTACCCGGGTGATAGGCCCGGGTGTTGTTCTGTAATTACTGTACACTTCTTTCCACCCGTCTCAGTTATCACGCAACGGCCTCAGATCCGCAGCGGGCACCGCATCTAAATAGTTCAACTTCTAATCCGTGCTCACGGTGGCCCGGTACTCCCAGTGGTATGTAGTCAACACGCTGTTGACAGGGAGAACAGGCAGCTGTTTACCTCCGCTGTGCAATATCATATTTGCGCTTGAATTTGCTTCAGCAGAATCTATTTCGACTCCGACTTACAGCTCGAGGTGACTCTGACTCCGACTCTTTGACTGAGGCTCAGAACAGCAAAGCACAATCGTCAGTTGACTACGACTTCAACTCAAATACAACGAGCTCATTTCTGGAGCCATTTCCGACCAAACCGTTTCCGGTCATGGCGATTTATAAGATAGGATATTCAGTCATCTACACAACCCGAGGCATGATATATTTTGTGCTATTAGAACACAGCAATGCGAATATTTAGTGCTTGATGTGATGTTTATTGACGTGAGGCAATTTTTGTAGATCTTGTATTTCATCGTTGATACAGTAGTTGCAATTCATATTCACAATCTATTCGATTTCAGGAAAATTCTGGCTGAGTCTGCACTCTGACTCCAACTTGTTCTTGTTCGTCAAAGGAATATCGGTTTAGCCTTGATACAACTGCTTGCTTCGGATTTCGAGTCAGGCTTTGCTTTGAGGGAAGTAAAGGTCTCCTGTCCATCGTGCAAACCAAAATCGCCTTTGTCTTCGGGAAAGTACAGCTGGTAATGGCGCCTGATCGTGCAGTTGGACCATGGGGACAGACGGAGTTTGTTTTGACTTACCAATGGTTCACAAATGAGAAACACAACTATGTCGCGCAGTCCCCATTGAGTCGTTCAGTGACCGTATGCGTCATGGCGCTTGTGTTCCCTACGCGCGAATCAGAAACCCGGAACATGACCTTTGAACAAGGTGGCATTTCCAGGTGTGCTGTTTCTCCCACGTCTCTTACTAGCATGTGTTCTAACGTCTTCACTGTTAGAACACGCTCTGACGAGGAGCGAGTACCACCACACACCACCGCACCGCGCAGTAATTGGCTGATGGGGTTGAGCCGCACACGACCGTGCCTGCCGTGGGACGGTACGGCGTCCGGATCCGCCATCCGGGCGTCCCATCCGTGCGCGCGCTGTGCGTGACCGGCGTGCGGCGGCGACCGGTGCTGCCGGCGGCGGCGGGGGCCGGCCGCCGGGGAGCAGAGGAGCTGGCGCGCCAGGCTGGGGGGCGCATCAGTCGGGCGCCAGCGCGCAGGAGGAGGCGCGCGTGACGCTCCGCAGGGCTGGGAGAGGACGCCAGGCTCCACCTGATGCCGGCCAGCGGACGCAGGTATGGCCGCAGCGTGGCTCGCTGGCGGCGTGACGGTCCCGATAATAGGGAGCCAATCTCTCGGCTGGGTGTGGTGGGAGGCGTGACCGCCGGAACTAGAACTGTCACGTAGGTGTTCGTTTATCCGAAATTATTATGGTTTAAATACATGTGAAGCAGTATTGATTTGATAATAAGATGAATCGAGTCTTCATGATGAATGTTTTAATAAGTACAATGTATTTCTGCTATTCGCTCTAACCAACTGGCGATGCCGCGTTTATTTTTATTTGTTGGATACTTTTGTTTAAGTATTTCCTTTTTTCTAATTGTGAGTCATGTACAGCGATAAGAGATGGGTAGAAGTCTACATGACAACCTGCAGTATTTCTTCCATTCGATCATCATGACCTGTAAGAAGCCTTGTGTGGTGTCGGACGAGCATAATGTTGTCGGAGGCCTTATTGCCATAGTTATGATATCGAGACGTAAGAGAAAAATATAAATATAAACTTTTGGATTCTATAAATGTAGTTCTTATTGCTATTCATATCCATCTTTCAGCAGACTCTACACAGGCGACAGGTGTCATTAACATAGCACTCACTAACATAGCATTCATGCACAAGATCACAAGTAAACATTGCAATAGCATTATTGTAATCATGCCCGAGACCATCCATGTACTACAAAATTTGTAATGCGCTGCTTGAAAGTTGACTGACCATGCCAAGCCAGCTCTGGCCATTTCGGGTGAGGAAATGTATAGTGGGAATTGGTGTGTGTTCATGTTTAAAATTATTGCAAGCAAAGCAATCCCACAAACGCATTGCTGGCTGGATGCATGTTGTCTTATTGGATAGATTGACACGTCTGTATAGTTTTGTGCTTCCATACTGCTTGGTTGAGACATCGATGGCTTTCTGAGAGTGGGCTTTAAAAAGCCGGCATCGCTGGCTTGCCAGTCGAACAGCGGCGCGGCTGTGGATCGAACAGCGGCGGGGCTGTGAATCGAACAGCGGCGCGGCTGTGGATCAAACAGCGGCGCGGTTGTGGATCGAACAGCGGCGGGACTGTGGATCAAACAGCGGCGGGACTGTGGATCGAACAGCGGCGCGGCTGTGGATCGAACAGCGGCGCGGCTGTGGATCGAACTGCGGCGGGCTGTGGATCGAACAGCGCTAGGCTGGTTTGGCGATGCGCAGACAGTCTTCTCGCATCCACTGTGCAATTGTTTTAAAACTTGATATGCTCCGGTTACCGAAAACTGACCTTCATCACGAAAAGACACTCAAGGTCGGTAGAGTAATTTCGGTGGGTTCTAGATCAGTGCCAAGCTGTGTAGATGGTTCGCAGATGATGTGTTCGCACACCATACGTAGCTCCTTTCGGAACTGCCTCAGCTCTGGTTCATGAGAACTGACGTAAATCATAGATGTACACCAATGCTCCGCGGATTCATGGTTCATGCTGGAGCATTCAGAGATACTGCATGCAGTGACAAAACTGGGTGGCATCGAGCGTACCAGTAAAAGCATCATAATGTGACCACTAGCATTACGATAGCATTCCGTTTCATTATCAAATGACATGGGTCTCGCGGTTCTGTGCCAACAGACTGTCTTTTCGTCAATAGCGAGCAGGTTCTCTTGCAATATGCAAAACTCTTTACGCACTCATGCAGGCGGGTGCACATTGACAAGAACGAGGCGGTGTGGTCTGGTGTATAGACAAGGATTGTGCATTTGTATATAAAACTATGGTATAGAAAAGCACTGAGCTACCTCAGACGAGAGGGATTGATGATAATTGGAAAACGGAATTCGAATCAGGTCAGTTCTGTTCCCTCTGTGATCTTTCTCCATTTGGTTTTGCGAGGTAATGAAATCACTTCGTCAGCTATTGATCCGAAATCCAGAAAAATCCCTCAAAAAGAATGCACAGGTTTGCATACGGTGTATAGAGCTATAAAGAGCTCACTTGAATCGTGAATTTTTGTTCATCATCGTCATTTCATTCACTCGAAGACGTAAAATCATTGCTCAGTAAAGGACAAGAAAACCATTTTTGCACATTGTTAATTTGTTTCAAATATTTTATCCGCACCTTTTGAACGGATAGATATCTGGGATCGGAGCTGATGCTAAGCAGTGGTTGTTATGTGGGCCTTGACTCCCACCATCCGATTGTGCAATTACAGGTCAACGGCGAATTTGGAGGCAAAATGTTAGCCCGCCGCAATGCTCGACACAGTCCGTCCTGCCCCCTGACGTCATCTGACCTATAGTGCGACCGCTGCCACCGGCCGCGGGCCATATTTGTCAAAGGCAAATATCGAAGCGCCTAAAATGACTCGAACCCGACCGGCCACCGTTGAGAGCATTGGAAGGCAGGCGCCCACGTCAGCTGATTGCTTTAATTGACCTTGATTTTTTTAAAACCATGAAATCATTCCTTTCTGCAGCTAGGGATTTACCAAAAACACACAAGACCAGAAATAGGATGGCCTACAGGAGGACCTCAGAGGCATTTTAAAGGCTTGACCATCAAGTCTATTATTGGTGGCAGGGGGGGGGGGGGGGGCGAGAATGCAACGTATGTCAGCGCGTGTCCTTTTATGGAGTGTCAAAGCGTGGTGCTGTTTAATTATATATGTGCCGCCATATCCGTTCCATGCTGTTTGCCCCTTGTTTGACCACTGATTTCATGTGCTATGTAACTGTTGCGCACCAGATTATATGTTTTATGTTAACCAAAACAGCTGGTTCATAACTTTTGCAGTGGTATGGGCGTAAGAAATGAAGTTGAATGTACAAATTCTCACAGTCAGATGCTGCAGTGACACAGGAACCTTCCGCCAAAAACGCGTAGCCCCAGTGGGCAGACTGGAAAACCGCTCTGAGCCAGGAGCGCTAGGCTGGATGCTGGTCGATTTCGCATGAGTTCTTTACAATTTCGCATAAGTTATGGGTAAATGTACATTTTTCTTAAGGGAAATTCTGGCTACGCGCCTGCCCTCCTAACCATACAACAGACGCTTGTTACGTCATGACATCGTTAAAAAGTGCAAGCACCTTACATCGTTCAAAGTGGAATATGCAAGAACTCAACGACGATTCAGCTTAGATCGTACAGCTGATTCACAGACACATTAAGATCCGTACACCTGCCGTGCATGACGGCCGCCGCGTGATTCCGCTCATAACGGGCTCGCACATCACGAGTCCCGTGACCAGAGACCGGCCCAGTGAGCCCTGCACAGCGCGCGCGCGGCCAACGTGACGGTCTGCAGAGAGGCGAGGTCGCTCGCTGCCGCTCCACGTGCGGCGTGTACCGCGGGGCTCTGCAATACTCACCGAGGCGTGGAGTCCAGCAAGCAACAGTTGGAACCTGCCGGATGCGTCACAAGTGAATTGCATGGCGATAGACGCCAGCTTCTGCACTGCTACCACGATTCGCATCTTCCTTTTCGTCCTCAGCTACGCATTTTCAGTTAGGCATCTTACTTTCCGTCTTCAATTACGCATTTACTCCGGTGCCAGTTCCGGGTTCTTTAGCTGGGGCCGCTGCGCCGCTCCTGTTAAACGCAGGGCGACAGTCGGCTGTCGCGCCGGCCGCCGGGGCGGGAAGAGGAGCGGGGTCAGGAGAAGCCTCTGCAGTGTCAGTGTGCGGCGGGGCGGGACCACCAGGCCGTCTGCCACTGGGGCCGCTTTCCCTGTCACCTTCCGACAAAAGAGGCCGCCGAGATTTGATCTGAGTCGGCGGGCCGGCCGGAAACGGCAGCGACGGAGGTTTGCCGAGCGTTTTGCCATGCGGTGCCTCGGCGTCCAGTCCGGGCGGGGCGCGCCGCACAGTGACGGGCGTGAGATCAAGGCGCGATCCTGCGCTTCATGAGCCCCGCGGCAAAAGGTCGCACAGGTCCACTAGCGCCCGCTCCCATACGCGGCATCAGTACCACCGGCGGGCCGTGAAAGCGGATGGGACGGTCTATGTGAGACGCAGGCGCATACGCGTGCGGGTACGCGCACGCACACTCATGACACACTGTGGTGTGCGCCTGTTGTGATCGTTGTGCTCTCGTTGCAGCGCTCTGTCTGTAAGTCTCCGTCGTCTATTAGTCTTCGAGAGGATGATTGTGTCATTCACCGAGGCGTACGTTGTGAAATAACTTTTCTGAGCACTGCTGTGACCTAGCCCCAATTGAGGCACTTGAGTGCGGTCATTACATGAGGGTGGGTTCCTGATTGTTTAAAGGTGACCACAGGCCACAGCCATTACGAATGTCATGCTTCCAGCCTCACCAACGTAATGGCTTTAACCTCTGTGAGTGCAATTCCCTCTTCACGGCTTGATGCAAAGATGGCCATTTAAACCGGACACTTAAACGGTGTTCATTAGGTCACCGAGGCATTTGAAATGCCAGCAACAACAATCGCTGTTTTTCCTCCGTGAGAAGGCTCTTGATGAAACGGAACTCGAACTGAGGTACTGAAGCCCTCAAGCAAAGATTGCACTATTTTGGCGACCGTGCGCGTCCAGTTCAAGGCTGGACGTGATCTTTGTCTATTCCAGGCTTCAGCACTCTTAACAGCCGACTGATTTGGCCACCATTCTACTTCGAAGGCTGTTATGCCAAATGATGCCGAGTCCATGCGCTGGACGCGTGCGGCACCGGCACTGTGTCGATGTCCTACCCTTGTCATTTGACTCTTCCGAGGGATGCCTCCATCTGCCGTTGCATGTCGTCTTTATGCAACTGTAATACGCTTTCCTCAGCCATCTGTCGTGAACAGGACCGCAATACACTTGCTTCAGCCATCTGTCTCGAGCAGGACTACAATACACTTGCCTCGGCCATCTGTCGTGAACAGGGCTGCAATACACTTGCCTTCAGCCATCTGTCTCGAGCAGGGACTACAATACACTTGCCTTCAGCCATCTGTCGTCGAACAGGGCTGCAATACACTTGCCTCGGCCATCTGTCGTGAACAGGGCTGCAATACACTTGCCTCAGCCCTCTG